ATACTTACCCAGGAGTTAAAGTGAGTTTTTATTCTCCAACTTTCCTGGGTAACCACAGAGCTTAAGTGAGTCTAACTTGTTAACCCGAACCCTCAGAAGTTTTTGATGTTATAAGGGGCTTTTTCAGAATCTTCCAGATGTCCATTGGAAATTTCAGAATCCCAGGAAATTCCCATGGAATCTACTACATTAGGTTTCTGCACACTCATAATGCACAACTCCAATCTATTCTGCTCCAACAGCTTTCTGGCCAGTGGACTATCTGGGCCTCTTTACGGAGGAGGCAATGCAGAGAAGATTTCCTCGACCCATTCATTAGAGTTTAAAAGAATGAGAGCTGATCGGCTTGAAATTGATATAACTGGTGCAAACGACTTAACCAGCTCCAATCCTTCCAAGCTTCTCAGATGGTCAAAGAATCGTTGTGGTGCAGAAAGAGGCTATTTGGTCTATTGTACCTGCTAAGTGAGTTGGTTGTCCAAATGAGCATCATGACTTCATGCCATTTCCTGCCTTTTTCCCCCATACCTTGGAGAGTATTTCTACCCAAATCTTCATCCAATGCCCTCTTGAATATCTCAATTGAACCTGCCTCCATCACATTTCCAGGCAGTGCATTCCACACCCATTACTCGCTGTGCGAAAATGTCTTTTTTCTCATTCACATCGACGGAGAACCAGTACCAAGTAACTGGGAGGTAATGGCCTGGTGGTATTATTGCTGGACTGTTGGTCCAGAGACCCGGATGGCATTCTGGGGGCCTGGGTCCAGATTCCGCTGTGGCCAGTGGTTGAACTTGAATTCAATAAATATCTGGATTTAAGAATTTAATGATGATTGTGAATCCATTGTTGGGAAGGACCCATCTGCTTCACTGATGTCTTTTGGGGAAGGAGACTGCCATCCTTGCCTGGTCTGGCCTGTGTGTGGGTCCAGATCCATGGCAGTATGGTTGACTCTTGGCTGCCCTCTGGGCAATTAGGGATGAGCAATGGATGCTGCCCAGCCAGTGATGAATAAAGGAAAAAAAAAGTTCTGATTTTGAGTGTAGATTGATAGGGTTTATCACTGGTGCCAGAGAGCTTCATTGCCCTGTTTAAAGTGTAGACTGATAGGGTTTTAACTGATGTAACAGAGCTGTATTACACCATATTAGTGTGTTGATTGATTGGGTTTATGACTGGTGCAACAGAGCTTTATCATACTGTTATAGTGTAGATTGATCTGGATTATTACTGGTGTACCAGAACTTTATTATCCTGTGTTACAGAGTTGATCGATACGGTTTAATTACTGGTGTAACGGAGCTGTGTTGCACTGTGTTGGGCTGTAGATTGAGAGGGTTATTATTGGTGCAGGAGAGCCTAATTACACTGTCTTAAGGTACAGACTGATCAGATTAGTACCTGTGTAACAGAACTTTATTACACTGTGTTCCAGCGCAGATTGATAGCGATTGTTACTCGTGTAAGAGAGCTTTATTACACTGAGTATGGTGTGATAAGGTATATTAATGGTGTAACAGACCTTTATTACACTGTGCTAGAGCATAGATTGATAGGTTTTGTTCCTAGTGCAACAGAGCTTTATTGCACAATGGTAGAGTTTAGATTGGGCATCACGAAGATGAAAGGTCTGAAGGTGAATAAATGGCCTCCACCAGATGGACTACACCCCAGAGTTTTGAAGGAGATTGCTGAGGACATCGTAGAGGCATTGTTGATGATCTTTCAGGCATCATTGGAGTCAGAAAGGGTCCTGAAGGACTGGAAAATGGCTAATGTAACACTCCTGTTTAAGTTGAGATGGGGGAATCAGAATCTATAGGCCAGTTAGCCAGCCTGACCTCAGTTGTTGGTAAGAATTCAGAGTCCATTTTTAAGAATGAGATTGCAAGGTAAAATAGGGCTGAGTCAGCACGATTTCATCAAGGGCAGGTAATGCCTGACAAATCAAAAATAGATTGTTTGAGCAGTAACAATCATGTTGGACAAAGGAGAGCCAGTGGATGTGTTCGACATGGTATTCCAGAAATCCTTTGGCAAGATGCCTCACAGGAGACTGGTAAATAAAGTAAGAAGGTGGCACAGTGGCTCAGTAGTTAACATGTGGCCTCACAGCACCAGGCCCCCAAGTTCAAATCCAGTCTCGGGCAACTGTGTGGAGTTTGCACATTCTCCCCTTGTTTGCCTGGGTTTCCGCAGGGTTCTCCAGTTTCCTCCCACAGTTCAAAGATGTGCACATTAGGTGATTGGGCCATGCTAAGTAGCCCACAGTGTCCAGGGATATGTAGGCTATGGGGATTAGCCACGGGGAATGCAGGGTTACAAGGATACGGTAGGGGTGTGAATCCGGGTGGGATGCTCTTCACAGAGTCGGTGTGGACTTGTAGGGCCGAATGACCTTTTTCTACACTTTAAGGAGGCTATGGAGATTATAGAATGCCTGAAAGCACATTTCAGTCATTATGGCACTCCAGGCATTGTGATGAATGACAATGGGCCTCAATTTACCTGTGAAGAATTCAACTGCTTCATTGTGGATCGGAAAGGTTAATGCCATGCAACATCTCCACATTATCCTCAAACTTAAAACAGTAGTAGCTGTGAAAATCGCCAACAGGAATTGTAAAGAAATCAATCAAACCCGACGCAGGCTTATACTAGACAATCTTTGAATGGAAAAATAGCTTCTGAAGATATCAAAAGTAGTTTCATTCCAAAGACTAATGTCACACTGCATCCAAACTACTCTATGAATAGTGAAAAATTACTGAAGCCAAAAGTAGTAATAGGCAAGAATGATAAAATCCTGATGAAATGACAGAACAGCCAAGTCATTGCCAACACTGAACATTGGTCTGCCAGTCATTGTACAAACATTCAACACTCTCAACAAGGTCAGCCTACTTGGCAACATGGAACCTATAGAGAGCAGCTGTCACCTCATTGTACATGCTCAACACGAACAACTAAAGATAAAGATATCGACACCACAACAGACAAACATAAAATACAGAAGCTGTTCCTTCACAGCAGCGATGCATCAGAAAAATGTAATCTCATCACTTTGATAGCATATAGAACTTGCCAGAGATCCATCACTCCCCAGCACTGGAAATGGATCAGCAATAGTTACCATAATAACAATATTCACCCCAACAGCAACAACCCCAGATGAGGACCATCATCCTACAAATGGGCACATAGTAGTCTTCAGCCAATTCAATTTCCTCCAAGTGAAATCAAGAAACAGCTAGAGGCACTTGATACTGCAAAAGCTATGCACAACATGCCAACAACAGTACTGGAGACTTGTGCTCCAGAACTTGCCGCACTCCTAGCCAATCTGTTCCAATTCAGCTACGCCCTGGTATCTTTCTGACAATGTGGAAATTACCTAGGTATGTCCTGTGTGCAAAAAGCAGGACAAATCTAACCCCATATCAGTATACTCTCGATCATCCGTAAACTGATGGAAGAGGTCATCAACAGTGCTATCAAGCTTAGCAATAACCATCAATGACACCCAGTTTGAGTTCCACCAAGGCCACCCAGCTCCTGATCTTGTTACAGCTTTGGTTCAATCATAGACAAAAGAACAGAATTCAGAGGTGAGGTGAGACTGACTAGCCTGGACATCAAGGCTACATTTGATAGAGTGCAGCATCAAACAGTCCCAGGAAAACTAGAATTAATTGGAAACGGAGGTGGGGAATCTCTCCACTGGTTAGAGGTATACTTAGCGCAAAGGAAGATGGTTGTGATTCTTGGATTTCAGTCATCTCAGCTCCAGGATGTCACTGAAGGGGTTCCTCAGAGTGATATTGTAGGCCCTACCAGCCACAGTTACTTCATCAATGATGAATCCCCTCCCTCATAAGGTCAGGAGTGGGAATGTTTGCAGATGATTACATAATGTCAGCACCATTCATGACTCCTTAGATTTAAGTAGTCCATGTTCAGCAAGTATTATACCAATATTCACCAAAGGAACGACAGCCCCAGAGGAGGAACATCATCTTACGAACTGGCAGATACTATCTGATCCTTCTAAGGGTCACTTGACCTGAAACGTTTCTCTCCACAGATGCTGCCAGACCTGCTGAGCTTTTCCAGCAATTTCTGTTTTTGTTACTGATTTACAGCATCCACAGTTTGTTGAATTTTTATTTGGTGCTATCTACATTTGGTCAGATAAGTAGCAAGCAACATTCATGCCACACAAGTGCCAGGCAATGAGACTCTCCAATAAGAGAGAATCTAGCCATTGCTCCTTGACAATCAATCCCACTGTGATCGCTAAATTTTCCACCATGAACATCCCAGAACTTATCACTGGCAAGAAACTGAACTAATCAAGTAATTTAATACAATGTCTGCAAGAACAGTGCTGGAGACTCAGAATCTTGCAGTTTGTAACCCACCTCCTGAACTTTCAAAGCCTGTCCACCATGTACAAGGTACAAGTCAGGAGTGCGACGGAATACTCTTCACTTGCTTGAATGAGCAACATTATCTCCCACATTATCCTGGACACCACATTCACAAACGTTCACTCCCTCCATCACCAATGCACAGTAACAATGTGTACCAGCTACAAGAGGCACTGTAGTAATTCACCAAGGCTCCTCCAACAGCCCCTTCAAAATGCACAACCATGTCCATTTAGAAGGACAAGGGTAGCACATGGTTGGGAACTCCACTACATGCATGTTTCCCTCCAAGCCACTCACCATAATGATCTGGAAATATATCACCATTCCTTCAGCATCATTGTGTCAAAATCCTGGATCACCCTAACAACATTGCAGGTGTACCCACACCAAATGGGCGACTGCGCTCAAGAATGTAGCTCACTATCAATTTCTCAGGGAAACTAAGGATGGGCAAGAAATGATGAACCAGTGAGTGAAAACCACATCCCCTGAATGAATATAAGACACTGGGTAACCTCCACAACTGATAATTGCGCAAAGGACAGCATATACAATTCGTACTTTTTCTGTAGAATGGGACATGTTTTAAACTGTGGTTGGGTACCGGCCGTCTTGCTGCAGTAATACGAGCTCTCTCTGTGCTGCTACTGTGGGTGTGTGTATGCAGTTTGTGGCGGCCACACTTTAGATCATTTGAAACAGTACGTTGGACGGAGCACATGAGGAAGTCAGGAGCAAGCTGGTGTGGAGGAGGGACGCTATCACGGGCGTGTAGGACCGAACAGCCTGTTTCTTCGATGGATGTCCTCGACAATTACCAGCCGGTTTGTCATCTCTCCAGCTCTGAAACAGCCTGGGAGGGGGAACAGGATAGCATCTCCTAATATTAAAATACAGACCAGACGCTCTTCTGCGTCAGGGAAAAGGTGTTCACGTCCCCAACCGACGGCACTCACGCATGCGCCCTCCCGCGTGAACCACGTCCTCGCGCCCCCTCCCGGTAACGGCTTAACTGCCGCGCCTTGTCGCGGCCTGATTACGTCATCGATCGTATCATCATCCGTCGCAGGGGAGGGGGGCGATGAGCGGACGAGGAGAGAAGTTGGATCTTGTCCAGGTTGGGAACATTAACGCACACTCAGGCATAGTGGAGCGGTGCTTGTGAGAACACGATGCAATTTGACAGCTAGACAGTAGCCCAGGGAGGTTTCAGCTCTATGCCTCTGTCATTAACTCTTTATTTTCCGTCGTTCAGCTGATGGCCTCCGAAATTCATGGCGAGGGTTAGAGTTTGGGAAGTTGGTGTTTTCGTTCAGTATGGGGTTTTCCAATAAATAAGATTTACATCTTGGAAGAGAAAATATCTCTGCATTGAGTTAGCTGAAGAAGAGAAAAGATAGTTAGTTATATGGTTGTTTTGGAAAGCATACATACATTCAAAGTTCTGAAGCTTTCTGAGTTCTGGAGAAGTCATACCGCTCTGGAAGCGTTAACGCTGTCTGTCTCCACAGATCTGCTGAGTTTCTCCAACAGTTTCTATGTTTGTTTCGTTCTTAAAAGTTGCTTATTCCCAATTAGTGAATATCTCTCTTCGTAACTCTCAAGAGTATCCTGATTGCATAGCACAACTAACTTTAGTGATTACTGGTCTATTTTCATTTAAAATGCTTGTTTTTACAGCTTTGGAATTGCTCTCCTGCCCTTTGAAAACCAGAATTAGCATGGGAGATACCATGAGCTCATCAAATGAAAAACATTTAGAAAGGGTTAGAAACCTGGAATTGCTATGAAACCTAGATATTAGGGAGAGGTAAGCAAAGGTGTAGACAGTTGACTAATCTTCCAGAAGAGAAGACTTTGCAATGCAGAGCCAAACATATTATGAAAGCAAATATTGCAGGTGCTGGAAATCTAACACACACAATATGCTGAAATACTAAGCAGGCCTGGCAGCACCTCTGGAGAGAGAAACAGTTAATGTTTAAGGTCTATGTGCTTTTGTTAGATGTTCAGATGAAAGGTCATTGATCTAAAATTTATCTCCTTATTCTTTCTACAAATACTGCCAGACCTATCCAAACTGGGGAAAAAACCTTTTGTATTAAGTAATATTAACTCTCATAAAATCTCTGGAGGAGAGTGTCATGTCAGAATGAAACATTTTAGGGGATTTTAGGAGTCTGAAGATTAAAATAGAATCTCTTGTCAGTTTAGGAGTGTATTGGTCAGACCGAGATACTGTGAAAAGTATTGTTTTGCATGCTAACCAGAAAAATCAATACCTGACATAAGTATGTCACAGTAATAGAACAGAGTGCAAAATATAGTGTTACAACTACAGAGAAGGTACAAAGAAAGGTCAGTTCTAATATATGAGAGGTCAATTCAGAAGTCTGATAACAGGGGGGAAGAAGCTTTTCTTAAATCTGTTGGTACGTATTTTTAAACTTCTGTGTCTTCTACCCAATGCAAGAAGGTGGAAGACAGTATAACCAGGGTGGGAGGGATTTTTGATTATGTTGGCTGCTTTCCTGAGGCAGTGAGAAGTGTAGATGGAGTCAATGGATGGAAGGCTGATTTTCCTGATGGACTGGGCTGCGTTCACAACTGTTGGTAATTCCTTGCGGCCTTGGGCAGACTAGTTGCCATACCGAGCTATGATGCATGTGGATAGGATATTTTCTATGGTACATCAGTAAGAATCATTGTGGACATGCTGAATTTCCTTAGCCTTCTACGGAAGTATAGGCACTGGTATGCTTTCTTGACTGCAGAGACCAGGATATTGGTGATATTTACTCCTAGGAACTTGAAGCTATCGACCACCTACACCTCAGTACCATTGATGCAGACTGTGCAGTTTCTGACATGTTTCACTAGTGATTCAGTGTGTGAATATGCAGATTTTAAATTGTTTTTGTAATGGCTCAGAGGACTTGGAAGCCTCTCATATGTCATCTCTACTCCTGATGGAGTCTGCTCCCTATGGAATTACAAGATTCTAATATGTTTCCATAACTAGAACAGGAACTGCTTGTATTTATGTCCTGATGTGCTTTTAATGAAGTGAGATGTTCTAAGACTGTTCAGAAGAATGTTATCAAACAATCTGTAACACTGTGCTACAGAACTTCTTAGCATGAAAGACCAAAAGCTTGGGTTTTAAGGACTGTCTTAAAAGAGGAAAGTGAGGTAGGGAGAATTTGTTGTGTTTAGGGCCTAAAACAAGCATTGTGAAATTATTGAAATGTCTAGAATTGGAAATCTCAGATGTGGAGAGGTGAGCTTGGAGGAATGTAATAATAAGGATGTGCATTTTGAAACTAATATGTTTCTGGAGTGGGAATTAATGCATGCAACAAACGCATTATAGGTGAGATCAGCCATGATCATATTGAATTGCGGAGCAGGCTTGAGGCACTAAATTGCCTACTCCAGTTCCTAGTTCTTTTATTCTTATGAGATTTTGTGAGAGTTAAGTTCTGGGCAGTAGAATTTTGGATGAACATTATATTTGGATCTCACTCACTGTGAAGCTTTTGTTTTACAGCACCTAAGATTTTGGGCAAAGTATCGCCAACCTTTACTGAAACATCTATAAAATGAAAAATAGTGGCGAAAATGTGTTTCTTAATTAAATGTTGCAGTCTTTGAATTCCGCTAAAGACATGTTTCTATCATGATTCATAGTTCGAAGAAGTTTAGGTGTGAAGATGTAGTAAAGTTTGAGAACTTCAATGCACATCATAAACATAACGTTAAAGTTATAAAGAAGGATGGGTGATATGAAACAGTGGTATGGTGGTACTGTCCCTGGACCAGTGATCCAGAGGCCCAAGCTCATCATTTTATTTTGGGGGTGAGGTGATGAATTGGGAAAGAAAGAGGCTACGAGAGGTGTAGAGTGACTGGAGCAGATGCAAAGACAGAGGCTGCAAAAGGGAGTGCAGTAGATGGTGGTTGCAGAAGGGATAAGGATTGTTGCAATCAACAACAAAAACAAAATCAGCAAACTGGAAACCAAAAGAACTTGAACTTAGCAATTACCATGCAAATGAATATGGAATTCTTATTTTAAAACTGTTAAGTTCAGAGGATACTTTATGGACAAATATTGGAATGGATGTGGCTATAATGAACATTTGTGTCAATTGTTAAATTTAAATTTGATATTGCAATTTGTGATGCAGTGAAATGGGTAGGAACAGCCTGGTTAATATGATTCAACGAAGGAAATACATTAGCTGTGACCTTACCTGTAGTCTGTAGGTGTGTTCAGGGTGATAGCTTTTTGCCTGTGGAGGTGTACATCAATTATTTTAGAAAAAATCTTAACTTTTATGCCTGTTTTGTGCTGATTTAGTACTGTGTAGTCTAAGAGATTAATGCTTCTAAATTCTAAATAGAAGAGTTGAAGAGTTGTATTGTGCCTTTGTTCAATGGAGGATTGATAATTATTGAAGATTTGACAGCGATGCCCACATTTCATGAACTAATATGAAAACAAACTATGCAATCTGCAGTTTTTTTTTTAATGTTAACAGGAGCATGGTCTTGGGGGCTATGATTCAGAATTCAGTGAAGATGAAAATGACGGTGAGACATCCAACTGTAAAAGTCGAAGGTACAATGTGATTCTTGTTAAAAATAGAACATATAGAAGAAATGTATTTCATAAGTTTATTTTAGTTTTGTTCATTAAACTTTTTTGTAGCTGTTTTAAGCCTCATTATTTTGTTTTTATTTGAAATTGTAGTTTTTGGCCACAACAATACACTTTGAAAAGTTATCTTTACTCTTATATAGAAGACATTTTCTTGACCACAGAATGATGGCTTGAACATAGCTGAATTAAAACCATGCAAAAGAAAGAAGCAATGCTTGCTACCTGGATATTAGTTTATAACATCTTTTTTGTCAAATAATACAAAAGATAATGCCCCCAATTTTCATATCCTCCAGCAGTAAAAACAAAGGCATTGAAAGAAGATGAGAAGCAATAAAAAGGAAGAAGTAATAGAGCAGTGAAGGAGGAAATAGTGAAGAAAAGCAATATGTATAAATAAACAGTCAATTAACTGACTGGGGAATAGGGAGGTAAAGAATGATGAACAGATGTTGTTTAAGTCAAGAAAGAGAGGGTAAGTCCTTTTTCGCACATAGCTGAGTTTAAAGTAAAAAGTATATACTTCACATCTCCTGATACCAAACAGGAAAGAATACACGACCATTTGGCATCTATTCGATCTTCTGCCACATGCATAGTTTCCTTCATTGCAAATGACATTGTAGTGTTCTCATTGTCCACTTGTCATGAGCTGTTGCTATCCTGCTGACCGTCTAAATCTTGGCAAATAGAGTCAACAGGGGGTGCCTAGATGAGGTCATTGAGCAACGTGACATGGGATGATGAGCAGGAGGCAACAAGGGCTCTAGAGGGGCTGGTGAGCTCAAGGCAGCGAGAACAGTATTCCTTTCTGGCTCAGTTTGGTCTGTGCCATTCTTTGGCAATTGCTTGAATGCTGCTGAAAGTGATGTCACAACTCCACGTATGTGGTGTGCACTTTCTGGAGTTACGAATTTAGCAAGCACTCATTTACGAGGATGAAAAGATTTACTCCACGGAATCTAAAACTACACCTGAAAATGGAGTTTTTTGAAATAATGGTAAAAGGGGTAATTTTCAAAGAACTCATCTTTGGAAGATTTTTATTTTGTTCCTTATTGAATTTAGCCATAGAGTCATGGAGATGTACAGCATGAAAACAGACCCTAAGGCCCAACTTGTCCATGCCGACCAGATATCCTAAATTAATCTAGTCCCATTTGCTAGCATTTGGCCCATAACCCTGTAAACCCTTCCTAATCATATATCCATCCAGGTGCCTTTTAAATATAATTTTACCAGCCTCCACACCACTTCCTCTGGCCGTTCAATCCATACATGCACCACCCTTTGCATGAAGAAGTTGCTCCTTAGGTTCCTTTTAAATCTCTTCCCCTCTCTCCTTAAACCTGTGCCCTCTAGTTTTGAACACTCCCCACCTCTATAAGGTCACCCGTCAGCCTCTGACACTCCAGGGAAAATAGCTTCAGCCTATTTCAGCCGCTCCCTATAGCTCAAACACTCCAACCCCGGCAACATCCTTATAAATTTTTTCTGAGCCCTTTCAAGTTTCACAGAATCCTTCCTATAGGAGGGAGACCAGCATTGCACACAGCATTCCAAAAGTGGCCAAACTAATGTCCTGTACAACTGCAACATGACCTCCCAACTCCTATGCTCAATGCACTGTCAAGTAGCCACGCTTATAAGTTTCAACACCTTACCAAGATTTTCGGTGCGGCAAGCTCTAAATGTTTTATTTTAAAAAGCTTAGTGTATTTTACAGTACAATCAATATCTGGTAATATTTATTTATGTAAAAATATATAGTGCCTTTAATGTAGTTTTAGAAAAAATACAAGGCACTTATCCAGAACTTTTTCAGACAAACTTTGGCACCTTGTCCTAGTTAAAATAAGTGATTTCTCAGCTGAAAGATTATTTAAGATCCTGGAATTTATTGTGCCTTAAATACTCATGAGTAATTTTAACACTTGCGTGTTAAGCTTTCATTTTATAAGGCGGCAGTTATGAAAAAAGTAGTGCTTATGATTATCTTGAGCTTGATTGTCTTCAAATTTTGCTGAAAGTGTTGGTAATCACGTTTATTACTGAGAGTTTAGATTGTATTTTGTTTCATTTCTTCTGTGTTTTATCATTATCCACTGTGAGGTATTAAATAGATGGACATATTTGCTGTTTGAATTCTAGAACAAATAAAGATGCTGCGCTACTTACGAAGCCATTCCAAAAGGAAAAGTATGCCCGGTTGGCTCACAAGCAAGTTGCAGTTCAAGAACGGGACAGGTAAATATATTTCTGGAATTTTAAAATGTGGATATTTTTTCTTTAGTGTTTGATTTTAATTCTAAAGGTTAGAATCTACAGATTTTTAAGATTTGAAGAATGAATCTAGCTGACAGTTCAGTACTATATTGTTGGAGGTAATCTCTTTTGAATCTTTATCTGTACTGATGGATACGATTGTATGATACTTTATCAAAGTGAAGGGGATTATTCCTGTATCTTGGCCAATATTAATTACTTATCAATATTCGTTAAAAGAGTTGAATTCTGTTTATAAATTTGTATGGAATGTTGGCCCTTATTTCAAGAAGGGCTGGAGTATAAGAGTAGGGAAGTCTTACTGCAACTGTACAAGGTGCTGGTGAGACCGCATCTGGAGTAGTGTGAGCAGTTTTGGTCCCCTTATTTCGGAAAGATATCATTTCATTGGGATTAGGTCAGAGAAGGTTCACTAGGATAATCCCTGGAATGGAATGATTATGTTATGGACAAAATCTAAACAGTTTGGGACTTTACTCACTGGAGTTTAGAAGATTGACAGATGATCTCATGGTATCATGTAGGATTTTAAGGGGTTTGACAGGGTAATTGTTGAGAGTATGTTTCCCCTCATGCAAGAGCCTAGAACCAGAGGGCAGGCTCTCAGAATAAAAGGATGCCAATATAAGACTGAGCAGAAGAGGAGTTGTTTCTCTGAGTCTTTGGAATTCCTTGCCTCAGACAGCTGTGGGAGAGAGTTCTTGTGTATATTTAAGGCTGAGATAGATTGATCAGTAGGGGAATCAAGAGTTATGGGGAAAACGCACCAAAGTAGTTATGAGGACTGTCGGATCAGCCGTGATCCTGTTGAATGACAGAGCAGGCTCAAGGGGCTGAGCTGGCTTCTCCTGTCCCTACTACTTAAAGTCTTACACAAATTGGGTGCGCATTTGCCCACAAAACCACACATTTCAAAAATAATTTATTCATTATGAATATGGGATGTCCTGAGAAGATGATAGGTCCAATATATATACATGAGTTTTCTTTATGCAATTTCAATATATATACAAGTTTTCTTTATGTAATTTGTAATTTTTTTTTGTCAGAGAGGAAGCAAGAAACCGACGTTTCCATCTTATTGCCATGGATGCTGTATCCTTAAACAGAGACAACATTTCAGAATACAAGTAAGGGTATGAGGGACAGCTTATGACGAAGCAGCCTTATTCAATGGAAACCTAGAAAAATTGCAATTAGGCTACAATGACTACATGTTCAAACAGCAAACATAACGCTTGCCCTGAGTGTCAGGCTACTTGCTTTTCAAGCTGTGCAACAATCCTTTAAAATGCTGGGTTTAAAGCACTGCTTTTTCATTCTAGTCCACAGCTTTAAAAAGCACAAAAGTAAAAAGATGATCTTTACAGTACAAAAACAAGCCAATTAATGATCCTCTATAAAACACTAGTTCAGGCTCAGCTGAGTATTGTGTCCTGTTCTGGTCATTGCACTTCAGGAAAGATGTGAATGCTTTAGAGAGTACATAAAGGTTTACAAGAATCCTTCCAGAGATTCACTTGCATGGATAGATCAGAGCAACTAGCATTATTTTTGTTAGAGAAGAGAAAGTTGAGAAGAGATTTAATAGAAACATAGAAATAAAGATGTTCGGCATCCCTCAGACAAAGGTAATTGAGAGAAATTTTCTCCATTGGTGGAAGGGTCAAGAACCAAAGCGCACAGATTTAAAATGATTTGGATAAGAAGCAAAGGTGAAATGAGGAAAGGTATTTTTACAGAACAAGTGTTTACAATCTAGATTTTACTCTTTAAGAGGGTCGTGGAGGCAGGTTCCTTCAAAAATTACAGAACCACAGGGAAAGGTAAGGGAGTGGGACTAACTTTATTGGTGCTACACTGAGTCAGTAAGGACCTGACTGACCAAATGGCCACCTTCTGTATTATAACTATTCTCTGATCCAGCATGATGATTAGAGTTGTAGACTTCCAAAAACTGAACAACTCATGCAACTTGTAGCATAGTCATACTGTATAACAGCCACAAACCCGATAGGCTCATCTGCCCACCCCACCCCACCCCCTGGACACTTTCATTCCAACTCATGCCACTCCAGGTACATGGTAGTATTCAAGTTAAAAGGATGAAGCATTTTCTTGTCAGGAAAGTGGAATGCTTCAGAAATGCAGTTTACTGCAAAGAGAACATAAACAGTAATGCGTAGTAGTTAAGTAACTATTGATCTGAAATGCCATTTCAACATAGTCATTATTTCTAAAGCATTTAATCAGATAGAAGCTGCAATGTCAGAAATCAAACTGGTTGTAATAGGTTGATAGAATTGAATATCAGTGCTTTTAAAACAGATGCTGCCATGGATTTATGTATAGTTTCTTGGATGCTCTGAGTATGTTTATTATCTTTACCTTGATTATAAGAAACAAGATAATGGAGCACTGGTTTTATAATTTGAAGTATAATACTGAAGGATGCAAAAGGTGTTTTTCCAGCACTGATGAAGATGTTATCTTAATGCCTGTGATTGCTGTCATTGTAAAATTAATGTACATGTGACTTTGAATCTTAGTCTAGGGCAAAAACGCTTCCAAACACTTCAGCTGCAATAAGTGGGATGAAACACTCAATGCTGGAGATGAAGCTGGCAATGCAAATGTCTCTTTCACAATCATTTCCCTCTGCATACATTAACTAACAAATGGTAGGGTGAGAAATTTAACCTTTTGCATCAAAGTTTGACAGACGTGGGGATCTCAGCAACAGTTATCATGTAATTATTTTCTCTTCACAATTCTAATTTTACAATTCAAATGTGCCTTCTCAAAGGCTAGAATAATTTCTACAGATATAATACTGTTTGGCATTTGCTGCTTCCTACAGAAATATAACATTTTTCTTAATTCTTCAAGTATGCACGACACAAGAAATACATCAACGATTACTTGCTGTACTATGGTGGCTCAAAAGAAGACTTGAAACGATCAACGTAAGTAACTAAATATGTAACAACTCAGTAACTCTTTCAGTACAGATAATGCTTTATTCCATCTATCGAATGCTAAATCTATCTACTGATCTCCAGCATGAATAATCACGTTGCCAGAAAATTAAAATAAGAACAATTCATTTGTGTATAATGCTGTAGTTTATTTGATTATTGCTAATACAGCATTAGGTAATGACCTGCATTGATTCCAGTGGAAAAATTTGTGTAGTATGTAGTGTTGCTTCAAGTTAACATCTGAGGAATAGTTTACCTTTGCCATAGTCATTTTAGTCATCATTTCTGACTTTGTTAAATCTAAAGGATAATGTCCTATTTGAATCTTGTTTGAATTTGTAAGCTAAAAATAATTGCTAGAAAAGGATAAATTTCGAACTTGAATACTTGATGGCTCATTGACTTTACTGGTGAGGTAAAATAAACAAAACCTTAGCTGCCAGTGTTTCGTAATGATATGCGTACCAGAAATCTTGCAGGCCTTAGTTTCAGTAATTTTGCAAAGCAGATGAATCATTTTCTCTACTGTGCTGCTGGTCTAAGTTTAAATATTCATGATTTAATACACTAATTGTGTTTTTGATCTTCGCAGTGTTTTTAGATTTTAAAACTCTGTGGTTACTGAGTCCACTGATCATTTCTTTTCCAGAGTGAATGATAAAACAGACCTGGATGTGATAAAAGAAAACCATAGGTTTTTATGGAGAGAGGATGATGAAGCCGATATGACTTGGTAATCAGTGTTTTTCCCAAGTGCTTATGGATATTTTTTGTCTTCTTATCATGTGCATTTGTTATTTTAGTTCCTGCTTATAATTTACAACCTTCTAGACAAAACGTATGTTTGGGATAACAAAATATAAAAGGAACAATAAGTATTTTGTTCCACTGTTATTTCAACTGTATATAAGCGCTTTTGATCATTTAACAAAATTTGATGCACCAATCCATCAGTCCTGTACTAAAAGCTGTTAGACAGTTGTATTTGTAATTGAAATTATAGTTTACTTGTCTCCTCAAAAAAACTGCTTGCATATAATGCAAACTTGACAACAGTAGGTACCTGGAAAAATCACTCTGACCACATTTCATGCTGAAATATAAAATGGTTTATTTGTCAGGACTTGAGAGAGACAATGTGGTAGCTACCTTTCTATTGGCATTTTTCTGAATCTTACTTAAATTGCTTCAAGATTCTCTATTTAAGCTGAGTTTTTCATTAGATTTTGCATGTATAAACCTTGAATTATACCCCACAATAATCTAGAAACATAGCAGATCAGAATTAACAATAGACAGAGCCAGTATTTGCGTGCATTTACCATTTGAGCTT